ATAATTCACTGAAACAAGGTAACCTGAAAGCAAGTTATATATGTAACTGTGGCCCATTTTTTCCTGGAAGACAGTTGAGTCTGATACAGGTTAAGACTAAAAAAGATGAGCTACCCTCAAAGACTGGGTACTGGAAGTAAAAAGAAAATACTCCATGGTTCTGTGCTCAAAAGAAACTAAGATTCATAGCTTCTGTAGGATGGAGATCTGGTCTCAGGTTCAGAACACCTAATGGATCTAAACACTTCTCTAAAAGGTCTTCACTCATCGCCTTTACTCAGGGCCATTTAGAGGAAGAATCAGGCAGATCTCTGAGTTCGAGGCCAGCCTGGTCTATAGAGTGAGTTCTGGGGCCAGCCAGGGCTACACAGAGAAGACCTGTGATTTAAAAAAAAAAAAAGTCTTCACTCCTTGTCCCCTCCTCATTGTCTTTTCTCCACACTAAAGCACAATTACTTTCATGACAGGAGTATGTTAAATGCACCCTGTCAGGGGCTCTCAGAAAAAAAAGAGCTGCAGAAGGAGAGGGAAGCTGCAGCTGGGTAGCTGAGCCCAGCTCTCATGGCAGTGACAAATTCCTAGTTGGTTTGTTGTACTCTGACTTGGGAGAGATCTTTCTGAAAATCCTGTTCAAGGATCTGCCTTCAGAAGGGCAGCACTGCCTCTGAGTCATCTGTAAATAGGTGCACGACCTTCAGGGACTGCAATCTGGCATGTAAACTGATATATAATAGGATTCCCAATACATTTTTTAATGAAGTAATGAATTATTCATTAACTTTGGCCCAGTAATTCCATCTCTAGAATGTTATCTTAGAGGATAATCAGACAAGGTCAAAAATATGCAAAGTAATAAACTAAGACATTCAAAACAAGTACTTTATGATAACTTGATAAAAATAAATTTTTCAGCCATCAGTTAATATTAGAACAATCTTCAATAGAAAAATAACTATGTTTAGATGAGCAAAGCAACAGGGAACTACTTTGTGTACATATTTATACACAACATGTAGGTCCACTGCTCTTAGGGCCAATTTTTTTTGAGAATTCTTAAGTTTCTATTTCCAAAACCTAATATAAAACCAAATTATTTGCCAAATCCCAAGTGAATTCTCAGGTACTAGCCTATATTCATATACAGAAACATTAAATGGAATAACAAAGATTTAAAAATGCCCTGCATCAATTCAGCTTGGGTCTTGCCACCCAATTAGTACAAATTCCATGATTACATCAAACAGTTAAACTTCCTTGAATTCTGGAATTGCAAGTTTAAGTAAAAATAAAGCTTGGGAAAAAATAAGCACCTTCTGCACTTAATGTAAAACCTGTTGCTGTTATTTCTAACTGTTGGAATTAAGGATGTTTCATTCATTCTCTAAACTACAACAAACATACATGACCAAAAAAAAAAAAAAGAAGAAGAAGAAGAAAAGAAAAGAAAAGAAAAGCCAACTTTTGAAAAGCCAGTTATACAATAAAAACTACCTGAAAAGCTTGTATTGGCAAGATAGAGGATACAGGTACTTGCTGCCTAATCTGATGACCTGAGTTTGATCTGTAGATCTCATAAGTTAAAAATAGAGAACAGACTCCCGAAAGTTGTACTCTGAGAGTCACTCATACCGTCACACATGTACACCCTCCCCAACACACACACACACACACACACACACACACACACACACACACACACACAGAGAGACATTAAAACTTAGAAACCTTAGGAAGAACTCTTTGCCTCAACACAGAAAGCAAACTCTAGAATATAGCTATCCAGTACACAAACTAGTATAAGACTGGGGAGACCCAAAACGAACCACAGGCTATTTCTGACTACATCTCCATATCACACTGCTGAATAATTATCATAAGCCAAACAAACAAATTATCCACAGAGGGGTATCCAAAGCTTCAAAGCTGATTTACTCTGATATTTCATCTCCTCTGAGTGGATCAGCAATCTAATTGAGTGGCTATTCAAAACAGGCAAATCTCAACTCTTCACATAGTTCAGACTTACTACTCAACTGCACATTCTACCCAAACTGCAATTAAAGACAAAAAAAAAAAAGAAAGAAAGAGAGAGAGAGAAAGAAAGAAAGAAAGAAAGAAAGAAAGAAAGAAAGAAAGAAAGAAAGAAAGAAAGAAAGAAAGAAAGAGGAGAGAAAGAGAAAAAGCAAGAAAGTCATCTTCTGAAACACAAATTATAAAAAGGATGTTAACTCACTCCTCTGACCCAATGCCACTGGGATTATAACTGATGCCTCAGATGTGTGCTTATATACCCTCGGAATGTAAAAAAGCAAAATGAAAAACTCTTAAGTCTACAAGTCCACCATTTTTACTAAAAGTTAGGTTAAAATAATCCATCGTGGTATAATATTGTTATCACTGCATCAAATAAAAATAGCATCTAATAGACTGCGTTAAAAAAATGAACTACAAATTGCTATGAGGCTATTAGCATACAGTAAAAGGAGACAATCCATTAAGGATCACTGGTATCCAATGTTGTAAAGATCGACCCAAGAGGAAATGCCCATCTGACACTTAACAAACACAACTGTGACTCTCAAAAACCAACTGACTGTTCTTATGCCATAAACAGTTTACTTCACAAGCTTTTTGTCTTACTCACTACAGAATTTAGCTTTAAATTTGCAGTTCATTCTCAGGGTATTCAGCACAACTCATTTGCAATGGTTTGTTTTTGTCATCTTGAAACAAACTTGGGTCATCCGGGAAAAGAGAACCTCTCAATTAAGAAAATGCCCCCATAAGACTGGCCTGTCTGCAAGTTTGTGGAGTATTTTTTTTTTAACTGATTGATGTGAGAGGGCCTAGCCCACTGGGGACAATGCCACCACGGGAGGCAATAAGAAAGCAGACAGAGAACGCCACGGGGAGCAAACCAGTTCAGCAGAATTCCTCCATAGCTTACTTATGCTTCAATTTTTCTTTCTAGGTTCCTGCCCTGTCTTCCCTACATGATGTATGTAAGATGTAAGCTGAAATAAACCTTTTCCTGCCCCCACTGATTTTGATTATGGTTTTTATACAGCAATAGAAAACAACCAAAGCAGTAATTAAACTCTTTTTTTTTTTTTAGTCTTAAGTCTTGGGTTCAATTTGTAGTCTCATTTTAAATTTATAAACAAAGCAGAATGGACTGTCTGGTATTTTTTATCACCTTGTTACTATTTTTCTGTATAGTTCTAATCACTAGCACACTATATACTTTGCATATATGCATTATCTGTATCTCCATCCTAGCCACACTAAACTCCATAAACTCCACTTAAACTCCATAAACTCTTTCCTTAGCATCTAGCATACTGCTTGCTCTACTTTAACACTATTTTAGCAAATGTAATATCCATGAAAACAGACTAATTCTATTTTATACCATATACTATTAAATGACAGAATAAAAATCAGTCTTCATTGTACATGCATGATCTATGACATTTTGGCATTAGTCTACAATAAATCAAATTTATTGAGAGATTCATTATTTGGGGATTATCTATATGCATGATTATTCAAACATCTTCATTATTATTCCCTATAAAAATATTCTCAAGAACAAAGCATCACTATGAACAATGCACCATGTATAATATTATCTTTGCCTCAGAAATGTGGCATACAATTTCTGTATTGTCTAAATTGCATACAATCAACACATATTATGTCACAACACTAACAAATGTGATCCATAGGTGAAAGAAGTTTCTATGTCACTGTCCTTAAAGCCTTACAGATATAGGTAAGCACTTTATCTGAACAAAACAAAGGGAGCACTGGCAAGTAAAAGAATACTGTACCTTCACTGCTACATGAAGTTTTGCTGTTTTCTTGGATGGTCCTGAGGCTTCATATGTTGTGCCATCCACATCTACAGACATTGTGAAGACTGGGGCATGGACTGGGCCAGACTGTGACAAAAGCTTATATTGAAGCCCAGGCCTGATCTGGTTTAATCTCATTAGTGCATTCATAAGGTCTATTGCTTTACTGTCCAGAACTATGAAAGAAAAAGAAAATAGATTAGAAATTAACTAGAAAGCCAATATATCTTATCCATCCCATTAGCCACTATAAATTCCCCATGTGATGGTCTAGAAAGACAGATCAGCAGTTAAGAACACTTGCTCTTGCAGAAGATCTGGGTTCAGTTCCCAGCATCCACATACATGGTGGTTCACCGCCACCTGTTAACTCCATTTCTAGGGTACCTGATGTCCTCTTCTGACTTCTACAGGCACCAGGAATGCACATGGTGAAAATACATAAATGCAGGCAAAACATTCATTTATTATGTCTAATAAAATAAATATAATGTTTTTAAATTTCTCATGTGTTTACAAAAATGAGAATTTTAAAATACAAATTCTCTCCATGAGTAGTCTTTAAATTTCTTATACTAATAGGCTGCTAAAAATAATGTCCCATTAATTTCTATTTGTCAGCATTGATGTCTTAAGCAATGAAACTCAAAGTTCAATTACCAATTTTGTCAACTAAGGTCTATTCTTAAAATTCTAATTCAAGTCAATGAAACTCTTCATTTATTATTTTCTGAAGCAATAAACCTTCTCTAGTTCCCACAATCAGAATAATGATTTACATACTTTTCCTTAAGTTTCGTTTCATCTTCTTATTGGGATCTTTATCATCCCCTAATCCATCTTCAAATGGCCTCTTTAGAGCTGAAGATCCAGCACCTACAAACAATTTTGAGATCTTCACTGTCAGTTAAAACAAGAATCCTTTTAATGTTTGAGTAGAAAAATCTCAAAAAGATCACATGAGTTTTTCAACGATCAATTAAAATGCCATAGTTATAATCTAGAATGTGCAATGATCTTTTGAAACCATTTATTATCATTTTTATAAATACCTATTCTACATTTATTCAGATATGTGTATGTCTATGCTAGTCTGGATGCTTCTATCCTCCTAAAATTCACATGCTGAATCTTAATCCCCTATGCAAAGATGTTGAGGGAAGTTGTGAGACACAACCCTAATGAACATTAGAGTGGTAAAATATGCCTGAAAAAGAGTGCCTCTTCCACAATAAGACATATAGCAAGTGCCATCTGTTAAGAAGCAGAGGCAGGCACATCTGAGTTCAAGGCCAGCCTGGTCTACAGAGCAAGTTCCAGGACAGCCAGGGTTATACAGGGAAACCTTGTCTTTTTTTTTTTTTTTTTTTTTTAAGGAAAAAGAAGAAAAGAGGAGAAGGAGAGGAAGAAAATGAAAAGAAACAGACTATTACTAAGTATTGGGCGGTGATAGCACATACCTTTGATCCCAGCACTCAGGAGACAGAGGCAGGCAGATCTCTCTAAGTCTGAGGCCAGCCTGGTCTACATAGTAAATTCCAGGGCAACCGGGGCTATGTAGACCCTGTCTCAAAATACCAAAAAGAAAAAAGAAAAGGACCATTACCAAACAACCCAACATCTGTTCTCTTGGAGCACTGGGCCTAAACTTCCAGCTTGCATAACTATAATTACAAGTTTTCCAGTCTAAGGTACTTTACTGCACAGACCAAACTAGAATGGCATATATTCACATCTGTTATAAAACTGAACAAAAAGCCTATCATCTACGTGTCCGATGATTAAAAGTAGCTAGTTGTTGTAGATTATTTTAGGATGTTTTACAATTGTTTATTCTGTGGAACATTTGCTTAATGATGCAAAGATATGTTGCATTCTTGTTTTGTTTTGTTTTGTTTTTTGTTTTTCCAGACAGGGTTTCTCTATGTAGCTTTGCGCCTTTCCTGGAACTCACTTTGTAGCCCAGGCTGGCCTCAAACTCACAGAGATCCGCCTGGCTCTGCCTCCCGAGTGCTGGGATTAAAGGCGTGCGCCACCACCGCCCGGCCATATTGCATTCTTTTTGCTGCATTTGTTTAATTCTGTAAAGCTGTGTTATTGTGCTTGCCTAAAACACCTGATGGTCTAATAAAGAGCAAAAACAACCAATTACATTTGGCATACCAATGTGAGGCTCGATATCCCTAGGGCCTGAGAAAGCTGAAAAATGAAAAGAGGCATGAGGCACTGATGTTCAGCCAGCAGCACTAAATAGAAACTAGAAGTAAAGCTAAGTAAAAACACTTATGGCAACATAAGTACCAGCTTGCTTAGGCTAGGAAGACTGAATGCAGTTCTCAGTCACAAACCTCCAACCAGGCCACAAGTTTTAGGCTTGGCTCTCACAAACCTAGAAGCAGGTAGAACAAGCCAAAAGAACCACGCTTAGCAGTCTAAAGGTGTAGCTTAGCAGTCTAAAGTTTGTGAGTGTGGTCAAAAAAAGGCTAAAAGATATGCAGGAAAGCAGGTTCAGATGGAAAAAAACCCTTAAAAAGGTTACCATGTGTTTAACAATGGCAGAGGCTTAAAAAAGAAAAGAAAAAGGGTATGGACAGTCATTGAAAGAAAGAATTTAAAAATAAAAAAAAGTCTTTAAAGAGAGAAGTAAAATAATAAAAAAGAGTAAACCACATAGAGATGGGAAATACACAGGGAGTCTGGATCCTGTACAGTATTGTGTTGATTCTGAATGTTTTGATTGCTAACAAGCAAACAACAGCTGCTGAGAGACATGGAATTGAAAGAGGGACTGAGGACATACACCAGCCTAGAAATTTTAGGAATGCCTTAACTTTAAAATAGAAGTCAAAAATGCTTTGGAGAAGAGGTTTTGCTTTTGTTTCCACAGGAAACAAGAGCTGTGGATTCATTCTGGGTTAATATAGATCAGGTTTGTTCAAGGGAGACCTCCTGAATCTTGACAGGTGATATCTATCAACAAAGGTTATTCCTGTTCTTCCCAGGACTTGGCCATTATCTCAAATCTTCTCTCTGAGACCCTAGAGATGTTTTGTCCACAGACAGCAGGAAGCAGTTTGGAGAACACAACACCCACATTCCCAAGAGTGGGGTTATGGGAGGCAGCTGATTATTTTTGGTGGGTTATGGATGTTTGTTATCATTTAGGGGAATATAGTATATTGATACAAAGTTATTTTTGTTACACTGTATATATGTTTCTACTCTTGTTTAAGATATTGCACCTATGCAGTTCCTTTAAAAATGTAAGGTAAAAAATTCTAGTTTTTGAAAGCTATTATTATGAACTATTTAGGATAATCAAGAAACACGGGTAAGTAGTTAGTCATCTATAACAATAAAATTTGTAGATATGTTAGGTATGCTTTCAAGATCATACAGATTTTTTATGTATGTATTTTTAGACAGATAAATGGTTTTTGAACACTTCAAAGACCTACAGAATATGGCATTTAAAATGTTTTGTCAACCTAAGACTTTTTTCATGACAATGAGACACATCTGCTCCTGGCAGCACCAATTTACTGCAGAGAAGACAATGGGCACTGAAGAAACTCCTTATGGAGTTTGCTTTCACTGTGGCAAGGTTAACTACTGGGCAAAGAAACTGCTCTTGCCTTTAACTGCTGACAATGTGCTGTGCAGGCTGGACATGCAGGACACAGAGGAAATCAACTGATGAACTTTGCCAATACAAGGCAGGACAGTCCTCCAAATTTCCTGCTTCACTGAAAAATTTGTCAGATGCTCTAGGCCTGTAGGCTGAAGATGGATGGCCCAACATTGCAGAGGAACTTTAGGTGACTGTACAGGCAGCCAACGGTCTCTATTGTTACATAATATTACATTTTTCTAGGTCTTTGATGGAGCTGCAGACTAGATAGTTATAGCTGCAGTTTTCCTTAGTTATGATAGAGAGTAAGTTGGGTGTAAAACTTTGGATAGGATAGATAGTGCATTACTTTCTCTGAATATGCTAACTACTAATAGACAGAATATTGTAAAATTTGATTCTTTCCTGAAAACTGTTTTTGTTGTATACAGTTTTACTATGTTGAAGTTGAAACTTTTTTATGCAGACAAAAAGGGAGAAATGTTGTAGAATATTATTTTAGGATGTGTTAATTTGTTTATGCTATGGAACATTTGTTTCATGATGCAAAGATGTGTTGCATTCTTTTATGTTGAATTTGTTTAAATCTGTGAAGCTGTGTTACTTTGCCTGTCTAAAATACCTAATGGTATAATAAAGAACTGAACAGCCCACAGTGAGGCAGGAGAAAGGATAGGCAGGGCTGGCAGGCCAAGAATAAAAAGAAGAAGAAATCTGGGAGAAAAAAAAGAAAGAGCAAGAGAACAAGGAGAAGAGGATGCTAGGGGCCAGCCACACAGCCAGCCACAGAGTAAGAGTGAAAATAAGATTAAGGAAGTAAGAAAAGGAAAAAGCCCAGAGGCAAAAGACAGATGGGATAATTTAAGTTAAGGAAAGCTGACTAGAAATAAGCCAAGTTAAAGCTGGACATTTATAATTAAGAATAAGCCTCCCTGTGTGATTTATTTAGGAGTTGGGTGGCAGGCCCCCATAAGAGTAGAAAAAACAACCAACAATAATTGGTTTAGAAGAACTGATCTACCTTTTCAAGTATTTCTAAACTGCTTCTATAAATTGTCAATATATTAAGATCTTACACTTTTATAAATCTGATCATCGAATTACAAGTCTTTTGCAAGATTTTATTTACAGTTTTCTACAAGGCTTTTTACCCACTATCAACTTCCTGCTTAATCAGAACACTGTGTAGTATTGCCTATTTGCATATACATTTTATGTGTCCTTAATTGCAGTTGGTGCAGGTCAAAGGTATTTTCTACTTGTCTTCTATTTTATAGAGTATTTTAACATGAGAGGTAGAAACAACATAATGGAAAGGAACCTAAAGAAAATGATACTAATAAAAGTGCTTTGCTGCCAAAGGTTCAAAGGAGAAAGAGAGGAAAGGTCATCAGCCTGCCAAAGTACATTAATGAATTCTGTCTTCAACTTAAAAATTAGTTCACGGGACTTTTCCTGAGAAAAACTATGCTCAAGATATTCATGCCACAAAATTTCTAGATAATTCTAGGAAAAATATGTAATAACAGTGAAATTCTGTATTTTCTCACTATCAAGATTTATTGTCCCTTGGCATAAACAGTTCAGCAATTGCTTGAGTCAGTATTTTCCAGTCAGCTCAAACTTGATGTTCTCCAGCAATGTCTACCTAGCATTGCTGTTTTGTTTGCATACAACTATAAGTATATTAGTCTTCTAGAGTGAAATTTTTAAGAAATAGAAGCTTTAAAATAGGAACTATGTTTATTCAATCCTTTTTCCACTCATTATCCTATTATTAAAAGCAGCTCCCTGACTAGAAAGTATAAGCTGGTTAAATACATGGATTTAAGTATGCAAGCTACATGGATAGAATTCTGTGGCTTCATTTTATCAGCCCTGCCATTGGAAAAGAACTCGAATACCTGGGGCTAATAAGGGAAAATATGGGCTTACATTTATAAAAAGCAAGTCTTATAACCTTCATGGTCTGGTAATAAGATCACTTCTGAGGTCTGGTACCATCCTTAGTTCTCATATGTAACAACTTTATCCTCAGAAGCACTCAAAGCCAGTATCCCTTATTGTTCCCATTATAAACTCATACATGCATCTGTTCAATAACAAATATTTTCAGCATAATCTACACATAGGCAATTTTAAGTATTTAACATTTAAGGACAAACAGTACCTCTATTCTCTGTTTGCTTAGTCACGTATAATGGAGACTAATTACAACTTGCCATATAACAGTGAAGTAAGCACATACAGGAGTTCAGTACCTAGGACCCCAATTTGGTTTGGGTTATGTATACAGATTCACACACACATGCACATTTTAATAAGTGTACTTGGCAGCCTAATTCCTTAACCTGAACATAGTATGTGTACACATGCATCTCAAAAACAATGCACTTAGAAATTTCAGAATGCCCTCACTCCACAAACTGCATTGGCAACATGTACTCCCATCTCTGAACAGTAGTTAAAATTTCTTCACCCCTAGTAGTAATCAAATCTAAAATACAAAGTAGAAAAGAAGGAAAAGAAACCCAGGTCAAAGGCACAGAAAATACTTTCCAAAATAAATAGTAAAAGAAAATTTCCGAAATTTAAGGGAAGGGATGCTATCACGGTACAAGAGGCATACAGAAAACAAAACAAGATGGGGACGGGGTAAGAGACAAAATGATAAAAATTCTAAATGTACAGAACAAAGAAAAGATATTAAAAGCTTCCAAAAAGAAAGACCAAGTCACATATAAAGGCAGACTCATCAGAATAACACCTGATTTTTCAATATAGACTTTGAAAGCAAGAAAGACCTGGTCTGACATTCTACATGTTTTTGAATGACCACAGCTATCAGCTCAAACTACTATACCCAAAGAAACTTTCAGTCATAACTGGAAGAGAAAGAAAAATGTTCATGATAAAAACAAATTTGAGGAATTCATGTCTATTAAGCCAATTCAACAGAAGATACTATAAGTAATACTTTGGTCTAAAGAGAAGATTAAGCATACCCAAGAGAAGGAAGGAACAAAAAACCCCAGAACAGTTAACCATAAGAGGTCTGAAAAAAAAAAAAATCAATACAACCACAACAACAAAATAAAAAAAAATTAATAAACACTGCTCAATAGTAACTCTAAATAGCAACAGTCTCATTTTTCCAATAAAAACAGACTAACAGCAGGATTAGAAAACAGGATGAGTCCTTTTGTTGCCTACAAGAAACACATCTCCTCATTAAAGACAGACACCACTTTAGGATAAAAGGACAGAAAGAGATATTCCAAGCAAATTGAATTAATAAACAGGCTATTCTAATACTCAGCAAAATGGATTTCAAGCCAAAACAAGACAGAACAGACAGGAAAAGGCAATTCACACTCATTAAAGGGAAAATTCAGCAACAGCACATTACAATTCATTACAATCCTAAACATTTACAAAACAAACAAAGGGGCACACAATTTTGTACAATAAACAATCTGAAACTCACAGGTTGATGCTAATATAGTGAAAGTGTACAACTCCAATAACCGCTCTTGCTGATAGGTTATCTGGACACAAACTAAACAGAGAAACTCTGGAGTTAAATGACATCATAAATGAAATGAACCTAACAGAATATTCTATGCCAACACTAAAGAATTTACTTTCTTCTCAGCAGCCCATGGAACTTTTTCCAAAAATGACCACAATATAAGTCTCAACAAATATAGGAAAACTAAATATCCTGCATCTTCTGGTCACAAGAGTATAAAGCTGAATTCCAACAACAATAGAAATGGCATAAAGCAGACAAACTCATGGAAACAAGGTACTAAATGAAAATTGGGTCAAGGGAGAAATCAAAAAGGAAATTTAAGCCAGGCAGCAGTAACACATGCCTTTAATCCCAGCACTAGGTAGACAAAGGCAGTCAGATCTAAGTTCAAGGCCAGCCTGGTCTATAGAGCAAGTTCTAGGACAACCATGGGGGTGTAAAACTTCTTAAAATTGAATCAAAATAGCCGGGCAGTGGTGGCGCACGCCTTTAATCCCAGCACTTGGGAGGCAGAGGCAGGCGGATCTCTGTGAGTTCGAGGCCAGCCTGGGCTACCAAGTGAGTTCCAGGAAAAGGCGCAAAGCTACACAGAGAAACCCTGTCTCGAAAAACCCAAAAAAAAAAAAATGAATCAAAATAAAAACACAACATAACAACATACCAAAATCCATGCAACACAGTAAAGGCAGTCCTAATAGGAAGGTACTTGAATGCTTAAAAAAACAAAAACAAGAACACCCAAACAAAGTAGACAGGAAGAAATAACACAGGGCTGAAATTAATGAAACAGGAAAGAAAAACAACACAGAATCAATGATGTAAAGAGATGGTTCTTTGGGGGAAAAAAATTAAAACAACAAAATTGACAAACCTTTAGTCAAATTAACCAGGAAGGATCTAATCCAAATTGGATCCAAATTTAGAGAAGAGGGCTAGAGAGACAGCTCAGAGGTTAAGAGCATTAGTTGCTGTTGCAAAGGATCTGGATTTGTTTCCCAGCACCCACATGGTCGCCCACAATCATCAATAATTTCAATTCCAAAGGATCCAATGCCCTCTTCTGGCCTCCATGAACACCAGGCACACACATGGCACACAGATATACTTGCAGGCAAAGCACTCATACACAGCCAGGCGGTGGTGGCGCACACCTTTAATCCTAGCACTCAGGAGACACAGCCAGGCAGATCTCTGTGAGTTCAAGGCCAGCCTGGTCTACAGAAAAAAAGACCCAGGACAGGCACCAGAAACCTTGTCTTGGGGGAAAACAAAAACAATAAAACACCACTCATACACATAATTTTTAATTGTAATTAGAAATGAAAGGGAGACATTACAACACAAAGTCAGTATTTCCAAAATCACAAAAAACTCAACAAAAGAAGAAAATGATAAGCCAGCACCTCTGATAAATACAGTAAAAGTTCTCTATATTTGCAAGCTGAATGCAGGCATATATGAAAAGATCCATCAACCATGATTGAGTCAGCTTCATCCCAGAGATGTAGGTATGTTTCAATATATGTAAATCAATAAACGGAATCCACCATATAAACAGACTAAAGGACAGGAACCACATGATTATCAGAGGCAGAAAAGGCCTTTACCGGGGCTGGAGAAATGGCTCAGAGGTTTAGAGCACTGTCGGCTCTTCCAAAGGTCCCGAGTTCAATTCCCAGCAACCACATGGTGGCTCACTACCATCTGTAATGAGATCTTGGGCCCTCCTCTGTATACATAATAAATAAATAAATCTTTAAAAAAAAAAAAAAAAAAGAAAAGGCCTTTACCAAAACCTAACGTCCCTTCATGATAAAAGTCCTGAAGAGACTAGGGTTACAAGGGACAAATCTCAACTTAATAAAGGCAAACCATAGCCAATATCATTCTAAACTAAAATCAGGAACAAAACAACTATCTTGTTATAGTCATAGCTAGAGCAGATAAACTGAAGATCAAGAAGATACAAATAGGAAAAGAAGAAGTCAAAGTAACGGTATTGGCAGACAGTATGATTTTAAACATTAAAGATGCCACATCTTTACACATCTACAGCTCATAAATACATTCTCAAAACTGGCAGGATATAACATTAACACACAAAACTCAGCAGCCTTCCTATATAGAAACAACAAACATGCCAAGAGAGAAATAAAACAGCATTCATATAGCACACACACACACACACACACACACACACACACACACACACAATCTCAGAATAACTATAAAAGTAAAACATATAAAATAAAAACTTTAAGACATTAAAAAAGAAATCACAGACGTTCCTAGAAAATAGAAAAACCATTTCAAGAACTCCCTGAAACTAACCAGATTCACTAGGCCTCTCTCTGCCAGAATAAGAAGAGCCCAGCTCAAAGAAGATTCTTGAACAAAAAGAGCTGCCTGGAAGAGGTTTAGACCAACTGAAACACCTAGAAAGACACTCTCCAACCTGTTGAGCTGCCTGCAGGCTGTGCAGTGTGCTCCAGGCTCCCAGCTTTTGTGAGCTGTCACCTGTGCGAAGGTGGGCATTGGTGATGTAGCTGCCTCTGAGTCATTCCTGATCTTGTAAGTGACCCTCACCCACAGTAACCCCAATAAAACTCACTGGTTCACCAAGTTGGACTTTGGTGATATCTGTACTTTGGTCTGTTTTGAGTCTATCTGGGGTGAGAAGATGAATGTGTTTCATCTACCCAGGAAACATTTTGTCACATAATAAGTACAGGCAGACAAGTACAAACAGGTGGCCGTGAATTTCCCAATACATTTTTTCATCCCCTATACTTTTGATTCTCTTTCTTTGTACAAATCACTTGCAAACTTCAGAAAGTTCATCACACTGACCAGTGGCAGAGATAATGTCTCTTCTTAACTTATGGTTTATCTCCTCTTAGACCAGAAGCCTAAAGCATGGTTCTAAGTCTATGCAGTAACAAAATCTAGCAACACAGGAAAATAAGCTGATCACTAATAAGAACAAACAAGATAGCAGGCTAATATCACTGATATTTTGGATAGAAGCAAATTAAGTTAAGAAAAGCAATAACTGGGATGACCAATGTTTAAGCTCCCCTAAACAAGGTGCACACCACCAATGTTAACCCTCAACTCTAATTAAACAAAACAACAACAACAACAAAAACCCTTTCATACTCACCTTCTTTATCAGTAACCGACCAGGAATACTTCTGAAAAGGCTTACTAGATGGAAGAGGGTCCATCTCCAGCACTTTATAAATCTGGCCAAAGGCTGATAGTCTAAGTGCATGCTAAAGAATAAAACATTATATTTAATGAAATCTCAATAACCATTCTTGCTTATATGACATTTAACTCAAATGACATTCTTTACATACTGTTATTATACTGGTAGAATTCCGTAACTTAAACATACAAGAAATGTAGCCACACAGAACAATTCAGAAATGGAAATTATGGTATCTTTCTAAGCAATCAGTGATACACCAGTTTCATACCTGTGCACTATGAGTGATTTCTTCTTTTTGCTGAGTGGTCATGTAGCTCAGAGCATCTGTTGGGTCTCGCTCACAAGGATCATGAAGGCCAGGACCCCCTTTGGCAAAGGCAAGGAAAAATAAAAATTTAGAAATGAGTTTAGAACATAGCAAAATAACAAAGAGAGAAGAGAAAAAACTGTAGAACTAAGTTAAAAGTCTGCTCATATAAGTAGAGTATTAAGGACAATCTGTCATTTGCAGTGTTAGCACCTGTCATTTTTTTACGGGAAGTCACCTAATACCAAAATGAGCCTTACTCCAAGAATTTACAACAACATGATGAAACTTTAAATAGATTACATATTTAATTTTTCTAAATTTAATAACAGACTTGCAACCAAAATGAACTTCATACTTTTCAAATAAGCATTTACATTTCCAGATTCAGACTTCTAGGTGAAACAAATGCATAGCAGACACAGTATCTATTAGTACCCTTTATGTTAGTACATATAAAACACAAATTAGAACTATGGAAAAGCTTTACAGCACTCTTCCACACACAAACATTCGAGCTGCTAAAATTCCAAAGATCACAACTCCTACACATCATTTTCCTCTGCAGAGGACAAACATTTAGCATATGTTTAGATAAATTAACTAAAGTAAGACTTTTTTCTTATTCTTCTGCCTTGAGAGTTTGAAACCCTTACCAGGAAGTAGTATTCCAGATGCCAAACACTCCATTACTCGTCTCAAGGCCTCCCCAGCGCCCAAAGGTCTATTACAAGTACCTATAGACTTTTCACATATAAGCTCTAGTGGCTAGAAGATATTAAATTACAAATTAGTACATGCACCAAGTGTTAAAAGGATTCCAGTTAAATGTGAGCTGACATTTCTATCTAAGGGAAGCCAAAAAAGTATAGACAATTTAATATTTAAGGTCCATTTTTAACTCTTCCCCCATGATTATCTACTCTGATGCAATCATTTCTTAAATCAAGAATTTTTAGATATATTCTGAAAAATATTTGAGACAAAAACTTTATGGTTTTTTAGAAAGAAGAAAATGAATAAATTACAGTCATATAATTCATTTAAGATTAACAAGTTTTAATATGAGCAATAGCTAATAAATAACCAAGGTAGCAACTGGTCTATCTAAATCCCACTTAAGTTAGGAAACACTCACATGATTTTAATCAATTTGCCCTTGCCTAAACAAACAAAATGATTCCAATATCCCTGTTAGAAAATCCATTCCTCAATTGAAACACACTGATCACAGATAAGTTTTTTTTTAATGAATTCCAATTAGCAAATAATTTACTGGTTACCAAGCAAACCAAAAAATCAAGTTATGAGAAATAGCAAGTTATAGTTCAGAAAGGCAGGTTTTTAAGCACTCAACTATAAAAGTTGAGTTCCTTCAAATAGCCTTCTCCAAGAGCAACAATTATAATAAACAAAGAACTACACCACTGTATTAGATACACTGAAAATTATGAAGCTGCATAAATATTCATAATTGCTCATTATTTTATAAATGAACCTTTACAACTTTAAGTTATTTTCATAAAATTGTAACTTATAGTCCTGACTGGATCAAGCATAATAACTTCCAAATTAAGTCAGTGTTACAATATATGTTATGTCTCTAATTAGTAATTAATATCAGGCAAACACTGCACTTAACCTAATTGCTATGAAATACATTGCATTTAACCTAACACGTTGGATCTGTGTCTACAATTCATGAGAATTACAAAGACACCAGTCTATCAGAGAGTCTCCACAGAAATGTAACAACACAATGAGGGCAATGGACCAGCCAAGAAGGCGATCAGCAGCAGCAAGTGATTCATGAGTGACATCAATCCAGAGTAAAAGCAAAACAGGACTTACTTCTAAAAGGTATAAAACCTTTAGATCGGGATTGTGTGTGTGTGTGTGTGTGTGTGTGTGTGTGTGTGTGTGTGTGTGTGTGTGTGTAGAGAGAGAGAGAGAGAGAAAGGGAGAGAGATTTGCAATTTTCATATACATATATCAAGTCTAAAACACAAATGACAAGACAAAAGAGACAAGTTATATGCATAAAAGAATTTATAAAATTGCATAATTAATTCTAGGGCAAAAAAAGACAATGTACACCTTAATTAACTCAGAAGACAGTCATTCTATAGTAACATCATTTCTAGAATTTCCTCTGCTGTAGCTTCAGATTTGTTTTTAATCACATTTAAGTACTTACCCATCCTTTCAATGGTGCCCATGTAGGTACTCTGTTGCACAAATCACGCAGAATGCGGAGGACAATTACACATGATTTTAATCCATTTGCCCTTGCCTAAAACAAACAAAATGATTCCAATATCCCTATAAAAATCCATTCCTAATTTGAAACACATTGATCATGGATAAGTTTTTAAAAATGAATACCAATTAGCAAATGATTTACTGGTTATCAAGCACAAGTTATGAAAAATAGCAAGTTCAGAAAGTCAGGTAAAAGGAATATAATATAAAAATTCTCTTTGTAAACTCATGGCAACCCTATTCCAGGCACTATCTTAACTTTCAGCTTTTCCTTGTTTAGATTTCACAAGCCACTCTCCACTATTCAGACTAGTAAGCCAAAAAAAATAACATGATAACAAAACACTGAGACACAGCTCAGTGGATAAAGTGCTTCCTATGCAAGCATGGAGGCTTGAGTTCAATTCTCAGAATCTATGTTTTAAAAGCCAGGTGTGGTGGCACACACTTAGAATCTCAGCACTGGGGGAACAGCAGTGGAGGATGCCTGGGGCTTACTGGCCAGTCAGTGTAGCCTACTTGATGAGTTGCAGATCTCAGTGAGAGGCCCTTTTTCAAAAAAAGTAAGGTGGAATATTATTTTAAGGTGTGTTACCTTTTGTTTATGTTGCATATGTTTAACTCTGTGAAGCTGTGTTACTGTGCCTGTCTAAAATATCTGATGGTCTAATTAAGAGCTGAATGGCCAATAGCAAGGCAGGGGAAAGGATAGGTGGGGCTGGCAGGCAGAGAGAAGAAATAGAAAAAGAAATCTGGGGGGAAGAAGTAACCAGAGAAGGAGGAGAACTTTAGGGGTTAACCACCAAGCCACCCAGCTACACAGCCAGACAAGGAGTAAGAAGGAAAGACAAGGTATACAGAAATAGAGAAAGGAAAAAGCACTGAGGCCAAAGATAGACAGGAATAATTTAAAGTTAAAAGTTGGTAAGAAACAATCCAAGCTAAGGCTGAGCATTTGTCATTAAGTATAAGCCTCCATGTATGGTTTATTTGGGAGCTGGGTGGTGGGGGGCAAACAAACAACACATTTTGGAGCCCAACATGGAGCTCAAATTTCCATAGGGCCTGAGAAAACTTAAAGAAAAAAAAAAAATACAGCTCCTTTAAGAGTTTCTGCCAGACACTAAGCCCTTGAGCAGCTAGTATGTTAAGTAGGACAAAAACTAAGTAAAAATGCTTGCCACAGAGCAAGATTCAGCATTCTAGAACTCTGGGAAAGTAGAATGCAGTTCTCAGTTACAAACCTCCGACCAGGCCTGTGAACTTTAGGCTTCACTTTCACAACCCGAGAAGCAGGCAAAGCCAGTTGAGAACCACTCATGGAGGATCCAAGTGTAGGTTAGCAGTTTAAAGGTTTGCTTTCATGGTTAAAAAATGCTAAAAGATATGCAGTAAAAGAAGTCCAGATGGAAAAAAAGCTCTAAACAGGTTCCAGTATGTTTTACAATGTGTGTAGGCTTAAGAAAGAAAGAATATGGGTATAAACAGTCATAAAAAGAAAGAGTTTAAAAATAAAGTCATTAAATAGAGAGTAAAAGAAAAAAGCCATGCAAGATGGGAAATAGACAGGGAGTCTGGATCCTGTATGTTATTGTGTTGAGTTTGAATTTTTTGATTGTTGAGAAGCAAAAGACAGGTGTTAAGAAACATGGGATTGTGAACTGGACTGCTAAACTGAACCAATCTAGATACTTTAGGAATGCCTTAAATAAAAAGAAGTAAAAAATCTATTTGACAAATAGAAATCAAAAATGCTTTGGAGTTTTGTTCCCATGGGAGATGAAAGGTTGGGGATTTCTTCAGGAATATTGATCATGTGTGATCAAGGGAGACCTCCTGAATCTTGACAGGTGATATCTATTCAGCAAAGGTTACTGTTGGTCTTCCCACAACTTGGCCATTATCTCAAACTTTCTCAGGGACCCCTAAAGAAGATGCTTTTGCCCACAGCCAGCAAGAAACAGTCTAGAGAAAACTATGCCCACATTCCCAAGAGCTGGGGGGTATGGGTGGTTTTTGATTATTTGGTGGGTTATGGATGTTTGATATCATTTAGAATATGGTATACTGATACAAATTTATGTTTTGTTATATATATTTCTACACTTATTTAAAGGACTTTTGTATATTGATGTAAATTTAAGGTCATTTTTGTTATAACATACTGTATATATGTTCCTACTCTTGTTTAAAGGATTTTTGTATATTGATACAAATTTAAGGTTATTTTTGTTACAACATATTGTATGCATGTTTCTATTTTTGTTTGAGGTATTATGCCTATGCAGTTCATTTGGAAATACAGGGTGAAATTGTAGTTTTTGAAAGTTACTATTATAAACTATATAGGATAATCAGGAACATAAGTTAGTGGTTAGCCATTTATAATAGTCAAAATTATAAATGTTAAGTATGCTTTCCAGATCATATAGATATATTTTAGATGGATGGATAGAAAGAAAGAAAGAAAGAAAGAAAGAAAGAAAGAAAGAAAGAAAGAAAGAAAGAGAGAGAGAGAGAGAGAGAGAGAGAGAGAAAGAAAGA